CCAATTAGCATTTTTTTTTTCTAACTATCAAGTAGAAAAGAGAAATAGGTAAATTTAAGAAATTTTTCGGAATGCTTTTGTAGAAACTTTTCTCTTTTCTCTCCTCGAGGAAGAAACATTTTTAGGAATGTTAATCTTTATTTTCTTTTGTTTTTGAAGCAAAACGTAATGGAAATTTTAACTTAATTAACGAAGGATTTAATTTGAACGATTACTTTGGGTGAGAGTTCAATTTTTACGATTGAAAGTTTGTGAGAGTATAGTTTAGCAATATACTTTAAAATATATAAATATAAATTAAATAAAAGAGTATTATTTTCTGCATTAACATAATTATAAATATATAATTTTTAATATCACATCAACCAAAATATCATGTCAAACTTTGTAATAAAATGGATTGATTAATAATTTAGCAAGATTAAAGTCTCTGCCAACCAACGACCTTTTATTATTATTATTATTTGACACAAAACTACCTTTTATTCTTAGCACAAAAAAGTTTTTTTCTTTAAAAGATAATAATAATAATAATAAAAAAGAAGCTAATTTTCTGTTTCCATGAAATCAACTAAAATATCTTATTTTCTCGATTTTATAACTAAACACTCCAATTTGTGAAATTTTAAATTTCATCACATAAATTTTATAAGAACAACTTCTATCATTGAATAAAATCTTAATTTTCTTTTGGTATTTGGATTTCACAAAGATTATTTATCAAGATCAATTATGTTATTCTTAAATCAAAAGTATCACAACTATTTAAGCATCATTTTAATCCATGCCCAGTAATCTAATCTTATTTACCTAATAATTTTAATAATAAATGGTATCCCTCAAACCACATTTAAGTATAACAATAACAAAGTTTAAATCCCTATTATAAACTTCCACCACTCTATTTTCAAATAATCCATTTCAATTCTTTTTATTCTCATACCAAACCTATTATATATAGCAAAGCAAGAAACAATTATCACGAAAATTAAATTATAATAAGCATAGAAGTTGTAAAATAAAAATAAAAATAAAATTTAAACGTATTAAAAGGGAGCGGGGCAAAATTGGAAAAGGGGTTAGAAAATAAAACCAAACAAGTTGAGTAATGAAAAGAAAATGACACCGCAACCTCCGAAACACACGCAAAATGGCAATCCGCTGGAGATGTGCACAATATTTAAACTTTTAATATATAAAATTCAATTATAAATACAACTTGAACAGGAAATTACACAATTGCCACCGACTTGTAAATTTTTTGCTCTCTTTGCAATTTCACATAATTACTATATTTCTTCTCAATTTTATTCTTTGTAAAAATTTACAAATTCATAAGACCTCTCTTATCCCATTCCCAACGTATGGCCTAAATAAACAGACGCAGCTTCAATGAAAAACTGACGTATCGCGAAAATTAAAAATTAAAAAAGAAAAAAAAAGGGTAGACGGAGAAATATAGAAAACTAACGGCGTTAAGGAGAGAGAAAGAGAGAGCGGCAGATGGCACCGGTAATCGAATCCCGAACGGCGAAACGGAGCTTTATACACTAACGCTGCACGGCTGTACCAGCTGGTACTTAACGGCGTTATTGCCGACGATGATGCCGTTGCCGGCGGCG